TACGCGTTTTTATAAGTACATTTATTATTAAAATTAAAATTACTATGATAACGGCTAGAGCAATTATTTAAATAAGGGGTGTAAGGGTTAATAATTTGTATCAATATCTCAGTTACATTCAAAGAGGTCAAGTCAAGGTAGGGTTGGAGTGTCTAAATTTGAAGCGAAAAATGACATCGTCTAGTCTGGTTAACCGTTAAGTGTCTATGAAGATTTATTTATTTTTTTATTTTATTTTTTTTCCTGAAAGGGTTTTGAGTAAACTGTCATCATTTAGCTAACATTTGTTTTTTTGACGACTTCATAAAGTGTATTTTTTTTTATATATGATTGGGTTGAATTTTAAACCTTTTATTAGCATTATTATTATTGATGCGTTTATTATTGATATGTTTATTATTGATGTGTTTATTATTCATATGTTTATTATTGATATGTTCATTATAGATATGTTTATTATAGATATGTTCATTATTGATATGTGTATTATTGATATGTTTATTATTAATGTGATTATTATTGATATGTTTATTATTGATATGTCTATTATTGATATGTTTGTTATTGATATGTTTATTATTGATATGTTTATTATTAAGGTGTTTATTATTCATTTGTTATTATAGATATGTTTATTATTGATATGTTCATTATTGGCATGTATATTATTGATATGTTTATTATTTATATATTTATTATTGATGTGTTTATTATTGATATGTTTATTATTAATGTGTTTATTATTGATATGTTTATTAGAGATATGTTAATTATTGATAAATTTCATCATTGATATGTTTTTATTGATATGTTTATTATTAATGTGTTTATTATTGATATAGAATTAGACGTATGTTTGTTATTGATATGTTTATTATTGATATGTTTATTATTATATGTTTTTATTATGTTTGATATATTTTATTATTAATGCATTTATTATTGATATGTTTATTATTGATATGTTTATTATTAATGTGTTTATTATTGATATGTTTTATTATTGATATTTTTTTTATTAAAGGTTTTTTATTATTATTATCTATGTTTAGATATTATAGATATGTTTATTATTGATATGTTTATTATAGATATTTTTTATTATTGATATGTTCATCATTGATATGTTTATTATTGGTATGTTTATTATTAATGTGTTTTTATTATTGATATTTTTACTATTGATATGTTTATTATTAATGTGTTTTTATTGATATGATTATTGATATGTTTATTATTGATATGTTTATTATTAATGTGTTTATTATTGATATGTCCGACTGAATCATTTTTTTTATTATTGATATGTTTATTATTGATATGTTTATTATTGATATGTTAATTATTAATGTGTTTATTATTGATATGTATATTATAGATATGCTTATTATTGATATGTTCATTATTTATATGTTTGTAAAATCGATACAATACATTTTTTGCGAACGTTTTATTTTTCATTATTGGATACCTAATTTTGCATCTCAGTGTATAAATATAATAGATTTAGATACACAATATGGTCATTTCGACGTGGTGTAATGGTTAACAAGCTTGTCTCTCTAGATCAATTATTAGTGAGTTCGATCCTTCCTGAGTATCCCTCATTTTCATTCTTGTGCCACATCTAATCATGAGGCATCTCCAAAACGAGGAAGTGCGGGGGTGGTTTGAGCAAATTTTCGGCGGTTAAACACACTTTAAACTGACCTTGTGCCACACTCGGTAGTGACGTAAAAATGCACATTACGAACGTCAGATTTTCTTACTGCTTTAGCATATCTACAGATCTGTGCAAGTTCGGGTATATTAAAAAAAACAAATCGCTTTTAATATTTTTGCTGGTGACTTTTGGTTAAACTCCTCGGGGTACATATGTCATTACAAAATCGAAAACGTGATAATTTTCTATCTTTTTATTAAATAGAAAAAAATGAATCATTTTTTTTTTTTAGACGTTGCGTTTTTACTCGCGATAAAAAAAAAAATCACAATATTTTTTTGACGTTCAATATTTTCGCAAAGATATGAATCAATATAAGTAAGAAATCTCTTAAACACAGTTCTGTGACTCCTGAAGGTTTTTTCTATCTTCGGATCTGTTGCCTTAACAAATAAGTTCCACAATACATACTGGCTTTGACAAAAGCAATATAATGGCGACAGTGGCTATAGCAAGAATTATTCTGCTCCAATACTACAAAACTCTTGTCCCTCTTTGTCCACGTGTTCCTTATTCTGTTATTAATTCTTTCAAATTCAAACAGCTTCCCTGTTGTTTCCAATGTCACTCCTACGTTCAATATGTCCCATGAGTGTTAATTCATGAAGCCTTCTTTTTTCATAATTTCCCAGAAAATCTATCAGTCCCTTTATAAATGTTACCAGTATAACAGCATAGTAACATTTGTTTAATGTTTTATTGCATCCAGGATATAACAGGGTGGTAACCCTAATTCAACTTATTGCATCCGGGATATAACAGAGTGGTAACCCAGATCCACTGTCTTATTGCATCTGGGATATGAAAGTGTGGTAACCCTGGTCCACAGTCTTACTGCATCCGGGATATGACAGTATGGTAACCCTGGTTCAACGTTTTATTACATCCGGGATATAACAGCGTGGTAACGCTGATTCAACTTCTTATTGCATCCGGGATCTAAAAACACTCTTACACTACTTCAAGGTTGTACTGCAGGAGAATGCCTAACAACGATTTCAAGCAGGAAATAAATTTTGCAATGTTGGTCACTCTATACGACTTGCTACTGTCGACATGTCATGACTGTGAAGATAGAAAAAAACACCGCCATGTGCCTCCTCTTCATTGCTATATTCACAACGTTTCAGCCTCTATATCTCTGAGATGAGGCATCATTTATTATGATTATCCTCCTTTTGCATCATTTACAATTATTTATACCGTTACCCTCCTCTTCATTGCCATATTAGACTGTTAACGTTTCGACCGTTGTACGCTCCGAAATTTCGAACCGAATCCTTTATTTTGTCCACCATGGTAGATTGCTCTCGTTCCACGTCCCATGCCACTTTTGGATGTTTCAATTATTTCCATTTAACTCAGCTCTCCAAGTTTGGTTCCCCACTGCTGTGGCTTGGTACTGAACTCACAGCTCTTTGGGTTTAGTCACCGGATCTAATCAACGTCTTTATCCACTGGGCCATGTATCCTTGAGGACATCTGCACATGATTTTTTGGGAATTATAAACCTAATGTTTCAGCAACCATTTTCTTTGCTTTAGGGACATTTTTTATCCTATGATACATTGCTTAATTTAGGAAAGGCGTCGTTCTTCTTTCCTATGTGTCACCGATTTACTCCGTCACACTTTCCTAATATACTCCCCCGATAGTAAAATGTCAACAATATCTGCTCGATTTTGACATCCCTAACATGTAACTCTCATCTTTAGTAGCCTCTTTTGCTGGCAATCATAAGTTCTGTCCAATAGTTATTTCAGCTTTTTTTTTCTGAATAGAGTCTAAATAGAATCCTTTAAAAAGGTTATGCCTCTTCAGAAAGTAGGCACTGATTTCTTTTTCTTTATTATCTGGGAATTGTTATGACTTCTTTCGGAAAGATAATGGAGTGTTTTCCTATTGCTTTGAATTCAAAATAGACCTTCTGGAGTTGTGGCATCTCAAGGCTAGTAGTGTCAGTCTACTCTGCTATTTAACCCATAGCTTAGAGGATTTTTTCACGTATTTTAAAAATATTTTTTCAAAGGTCATTTCTCTTCAGAATGTAGATGATTATAGCCCTTCACTGCTTCCTTTTCTTTATTATTGTTTTAACTGAGTTATAAAAAACCGGAATTGCTTTAACAACAAGTTTATTACCTTTCAGTATAGGGAAACATAATGTAGAATAGAAACTAGGGAAGAGAATGTTAAGCTGTGAAGCATAAGCTGCTGCTGCTGCTGCTGCTACTCCTCTTGATGTAGGAATATTTTTATGTCTTTCCTCCGACGGCGGAGTCCAAACTTGTAGGGAAATACAACAGTTATCTGCTAATTTCCATGGCTTTTCAAAAGGTAGTGATTTCTCTTTGTCTTCTCTGGTTTTGAATTCTCACTAATCCTGGCTACCACTCAGAGCTGCTTCTTTTATGTGCTGTGTTCCTTCAAGACGTAGGCGATCATAGCTCTCCACTTCCTCCTATCCTTTTTATTTCTCAATATGTTTTGTCCTTTTGCTACTTCTCCCAAATCCAGTTCTGTCATCAACTTGCTTAAGCCCGCTCGGTATATGACGCGTTGCTTTCCTTTGCCTCTCTTTCCCTTTATCCGCCCTGTAAGTATCAGATTCTCCAAGCCTTCCTTTCTTATTACGTGTCCCAGAAATTTCAGCTGGCTCTCCCTGAAGGGTGGCGAAGGGATCAATTTATTCATTTCCGAGGGTAGCTGTACGAAGTGAATACAACAGATCGGCCAGAATTCGAAATCGTTGATTGCAATTTATCCGTTAATAACAAAAAAAAAAACACTTCTCACAAGTCTAAGTTGAACATTATTAGTGGATAGTGGGCACATTCTTCAACGGGTGCTCCATATCTATAACCTTGTGCCAGACTAAGTTTGGTAAATATATATATATACTCGACTCTCCCGTCGAATTCGACGTATGTAGGTCAAGCAGATGAGTTCCCAGGAAACTGACAGTCTGACAACAGCACATGAGATTTGATTATAGTGGTGAAGGTTTCGTGCAGGACCATCCACACTTTTTGAAGGGCCGAATACAGAGACCTGGTGCACCTCAAACGACCCTCCGCAGGTTTTGAATTCAGAGTTGTTCTTCTCCTAGACCAGTTGCCATCCAAGGCTATAGAACCTAGTCTGTCCTACTATTTACCCATAGCTGGAGGGAGAAGAAGAGGATTCATACCTTTCACAAGGGTATTAGCACGTAAGTGAATGTAATGGATTCGACTGGAATTCGAACTCGGCTCTCTGATTCCTCAATCCAAGCCACTGTCTATGAGAGAGAGAGAGAGAGAGAGAGAGAGAGAGAGAGAGAGAGAGAGAGAGAGAGAGAGGACGGATATTTATTGAACAGCAAATACAGAAAACGAAAAAAACTATCGATGAACTTTCAGTGGAGCCTAGATTGCCTAAGGAAGCCATTTTGTTCGGTTTGTGGCAAGAGTCTTTAGGCTTCACTGATATTAAATATTTCTCATGTAGTTTCCGCTTCATCGCTCTATCTATTCAGAAATAAGAAACCAAATTTAGATTATCCCTAATCCATATCTCCCAAAAAGAGATTAAGAGTGACTAAGAATAGATGAGAGAAAAAGAGAGGATGGAGGTAATTTTATCTCCGTCTATTTTGAGGAGTTGCCGACTTGCTATTATACATTGATTTATTCTATTGCCAACGTCCTTGACAATAATATATTGTTACAGACACAACGGATACTATCACGTTATCCCCATGTACCTATAATAATATTTATTGTTAATCCTTTTATTAGACTTCAAAAGTTACCGTTGATATGTAAATATTTTGATATCGCCGATGATTCTCTTGCTTAAGCTAATGAAAAATTTGAGGGAAGGTGGTGTGGTGTTATGAGAATTACTGGGGAGCGATCTTATTATAGATACCAGTTTTGTGCTTAAATTGAAAAAAAAATCACCTCAAGCTTCAGGATAATTCCACTAAGACGCAAGGGATTACTGGGAGTGAAAGAGAATGAGAAAACTTTAGTAAGGAAAAAAGACAATAAAAGAGTAGGTTTCAGGAAGACAGAAGATGGCGATAAAGCCACTAAGACGCAAGGGTTTACTAGGAGTGAAAGGGAATGAGAAGACTTAAGAAGGAACCGGAAGCCCAACCCTAAAAAGCAAAGAAGAGATCAAACCTCTAAGAAAATTTAAAAGACAGGGGAGGAGTGCGAACCGGACGATAAGTGAATCTATCTACTCTCTCCGTATATCCTCTCTCTATCCGACTACTCCCACTGACTGTCTAACTCTGGGTATTTAACGGCAGCAGTCCAAGTAACACTGGTAGAGTGCACTTATATAGAAAAGGGGTGGACCCCATAACAACAATTTAGGTAGAGCCGTCAGAATTATACAATTGAAGTAGACTTTGAAGGAACCGGAAACCGAATCCTAAAGTGGAAGTAAGACATAAACCCCTAGTCCTGCTTAAAAGAGAGAGGAGGAGTGCGAACCGGACGACAGGCGAACCTATCTACACCTAATGAAGAAAAAATGTAAATTGGAAATAAAATTTCAGAGTTTAACCTAAGATGTTAGAAGTATTTGTTATAAGTTACATTTTTTTTTAATCAGTTGACCTCAAGCAAAGCGATAATGTCACTAAAACTAAAACGTAATGGGTACTGAGAGTGAAGGAAAATGAGAAGACTAAGGAGGAGTATGAGCCGGACAATAGCTGATTCCCAGAAGCTGCAGCGTGATGGGAAAAGGTTGATTCTCCCGATCAATAGCTTTTCTACAGCATCCAGTCCGTTGTAGCTCTAATAATTGCTTGTCTCCCTACTCGACCTCCCAAAAGCCTGTATACATACTTTTATGCAATACATCTCCCGTGGTTGTGATAAGAAGGTGAAAAACTCTGCACAAGTTGTAAATGATACGGATATAAGAGCTACTCTTGAAGTACCCTCCATACGGTGGTACCATGTGATATACGACATGCTAGGGCCACTTGACTTGTGCTGATATCTGGACCGTCATGATCAGGCGTACAAGCGGATGTCGGTTTTCCTCGAGCCATAGTTTGTGGTTCTACAGATTCTGTCTTAGCGTCAAGGCGATAAACAGCAGAAAATGTTGGATAACTCGGCTGCCTTCGGACTGGAAACACAATCTGATACAGCCGTGCAGACTCGCGGCCATTACCAGTCACGTAGCCATATGTAAATTCATATCTGCCTGCTCATGATATGAATATCCTGCCATTGTTAAACGGAACACTTCCCAGTTAACTCATATTTACACACGTTAAACGTTGAAGACAGACTAGCCACAAATATACACGAAAGACAAATGTAACCTAGTGTATATAGTAACACAGCGCCATAATCCATAAACTTTCTTTAAACTTAATAACTCTAAAACAAAGGATTTGTGGACATATATTTATATGGATTTTTGTCCTTGTTTTGGTGTGAGGAACCCTCCCCACAAGTTTGTAAAATTATTTTTGATACACCCTGTATAAAAGGGTTGATATTATATAGTAATTCAACAACATTTTCTTTATTTCTAATGAATTTTTTTCCTGTTTTCTAATACTTTGCTTAGCTTTTGAGAGTCATCTTTCGTTATCCCAATGCGTCTTTGGATGGCTGTGTGTAAGAGATAGCTACAGGCAGAAATCAGAAAAAGGGTAAGAAAATGGCATAAGTGGATGGTTGCGAGTGTGAAGGGGAGAAAGGGAGGGAGAGAAAGAGGGGAGATGTGCTCAAAATTAATGTGTGGATGTATGAAGATCCCTGCAACGTGGGGGCTGATCTCCAATCTCCCCCTGAAAATAGTTCACCCTCCAGATCAAAAAGGATGTTAACTAATTTTAGTGTACACATCCTTACACGCGTCCACACACTTGCGACTAAACGGCTATCACTGCATTTAAAACATTCGGGCGACGAGCCTGGATCTATGTGTGCATGAAGAGAGATGGGCCGATATATCTGGATATGAGGCGGGCATAAATAAAGGCTGAAGGGGAGGGTAACAAATGATATAAGCATGTAAAGGGTGCAATGGATAAATTGTTGTCTAGGTTACGTGAAAACGAAAATAACACTGATATTTTAAAAGATATATGCACGGTGGCGTAAAATGAATAGCGGCTCGGAATGGGGAATCGGAGAGCCGAGTTCGAATTCCAGTTGAATCCATTACATTCACTTACGTGCTAATAACCCTGGGAAAAATATGAATCCTCCTCTTCTCCTCCCGCCCAGCTCTGGGTAAATAGCAGGACAGACTGGGGTGGCAACTGCCTTGCCTTGGATTGACTTGGATGGCAACTGGTCTACCGCAGAAAGAAATGGCAACCTGCTGCGGGAAAAAATCTGCCTCGTCAGTCATGTATGTTTGTGTATCACGCGTGGCACATAACTGAAGTTATTTATCAAAATTACACAAAAATATCTTTTAACACTAAACAGCAAATTTATTCAAAATAAAAATCTCTTGTAAATCTTCTTGACAGCCTCCTTGTTTAAATTAGTGAATGCTGCCATAATCCTTTGGTTTTATAAGTTTTGTTGGCATCTCGCTCAATTGGGTCTTACACATCAATTGAATCTATCATTACAGTGTAACCCGGATATAAGAGAGTTGTCGGGACCGGAGAAGAAGTCTCTTATATTCGGATTTCTCTTATATCCGGGTTTGGTCTATTTTATATACATTAACACAGGCTCTAATTTGGGACCAGAGAAAATCTCTCTTATATCCGGGTTTCTCTTATATCCGGGTCTCTTACATCCGGGTCACACTGTATATTCTTTTCGAGTTACATGTGCTACATATTTTTGTTGTTGTTTCTGCTGTTGTAACAGTTCAAGTGATGTGTGTTTTGTTATTTGATAAAGTTGTTTATGATAGTGTCTGATGAAATTTATTTGTTTGAAGCCATTTTTAATCCTTTATCTGAAGAAAAAAGAAAACCTGTTGTATACAGATGATAATGTAGACATTTCTGAAGGAGTTGAATGCCATGCATGATGTACAGGGTGCGATGGATAAATTGTCATCGAAATTAGGCAAAACATGAAAATAGCACTAACATTTCATTTTAACAGATATATTTACCAAAATTACACAAAAAATATCTTGAAATACTAAAGAGTAAATTCATTCAATAAAATCGCCATTGGTTTCAGAATCTCCTGTAAATCTTCTGGACGTTGTCCTTGTTTAAATTAGTGAATGCTGCCATAATCCTTTGGTGTTACAACTTTTGTTGGAATCTCGCTCAAATGCGTCTCACACATAATAATCAAGGGGGTTGCAGTCTGGGGACTTAGATGGCCAGATGTAAGGGTTGATGTGGTCGCAGAAATTGATAGATATGACTGGGTTCTCCCGCTTGTATGGCATGGTGCAGAGTCCTGTTGTCAGACATAGTGCATTCCAGTAGCCGCCCTCTTGACTCAGGGCTGCACTATCTCCTCAAGGCACTTGATGTAGGCCTCCGTGTTCGGGAGTTCTTATCAGAACGATCAGAGTGAGTTTTCCGAGACGCCGTACGTTCGTAATCCTCATTAGACACATCCAACTCGTTCCGAATCCTCTTCTGTTGACACCAAAAAAACTCTAAAATGTTCGTATTGGAGATTCCGGTGCGAATGCCAAGCCGTACAGCATGCTGTTTCCAAATTTCTGGCGGATTGATTGAATTGTGTCATGGTGCTCTTTTTCTCGCAGACGGCGCCTAACTGACCCCACTAGACTGCACAGTCAACAAAATAAAAAACAAACAACGCGCATGCGCGAAATTAAAAATATAAAATGGCGACAATTTACTCATTGCACCCTGCATATATGTAAGTTAGTTAGCGACTGTTAGTAAGTATTGGTGTATATACTTGTGCGTGTATTGGTGTGTTGTTTTTTTTAGTGTTTACTCATTTAGACACATGACTATATCCGAGCATGAATACAATTAAATTGATGTTGAATCTAAGCCATAGACGGGGACGAACAGTTGGATTCATAACTTTCGAGAATGGTATGAATCCAACACTTTCATTTGATAGAAGGACAGACAGGATTGGCGTGGTTGGCAGCCAGTCTAGGAGAAGGAAAACTAGCGAAGCACATACTATAAAGCTAAGGAAAGGATAATTCGCATTGGTTCGATGATCCCGACTACGTTCAATTCCTATCTATCTATCTATCGCAGTCTTTTTCTTTTCTTTCTTTCTTTCTTTCTTTCTTTCTTTCTTTGTATCGCAATGTCTTTCTTTCTTTCTTTTTATCTATCTATCTATCTATCTATCTACCGCAGTCTCTTTTTTTATTTCTTTTTTTCAATCTTTCTTTCTTTCTTTCAATCTTTCTTTCTTTCTTTGTATCGCAATGTCTTTCTTTCTTTCTTTTTATCTATCTATCTATCTATCTATCTATCTATC